TTTTTTCACCCCCCCCCCCCCGCCCCCGCCGCCACCCCCAGCCGTTCTGGTTTAGGAGCTCCTGACACCCACTGGTTACGACAGCCGCCTCCGCAGCTAACGCCGAGAGCTTGAACCGGAGCCATCCCGTATCTCAAAGCTGTGAACGGTCAGGTTTGACTTAATCAGGCTGCAGAGCGAGCACGGGAAAGGACACGCAACCCTGGCCAGCGGGAAGCTCAACGCGACCTCACCGGCCTGAAATCGAGACAATTCCCACCCAATGAATAGGTTAGCCTTGCAAAGAACAAGTGGCAACAGCCCAGGTTTGGAGTTTGCTCAGGGCATCTGTACCCTACAGCCATCTACGGGATGATAACCCCTGCGATATCTCTAGCAAACACCCCAGCCACAGACACCGAAGGCGCCCGAGTGGGAACACTTCTCTGCTTGTGGTCATCTGCAAGAGAAAAATAAATACAGAAAGCTGAAATTCAGCTCCCCCCCCCACCCCTCCGCCCTCAGTGGTAGCAGCACAGGGCTCAATTAAAACCTATTTTGGGGACTTTGGCTGCACATAGGCTGGCTGGTGGACCACACGGCCAACGATTTCCACGCAGGGAGAGGAGCCTACTCGTCACGCACAAACAGGCATCTTCTGGGCTACACCTACTAATTAGGAGAGGGAGTTCCCTCCACGCCTATTCTGGGTTCTTCCAGACAAGCAGCTTTTTACATTTTTGCAAACTTTTCTCTGAGCAAATGCCAAAGTGAGTTACGCAGGAAACCAGCAAGTTCTTAAAGTCTTCATGGAGGTTTGACAGGTCGCAGATGAACAACGCCTTCGGTCAGGCAAGTGCGCCGTAACCGTCGCCTCGGGCCAGCTCGACCCCCACCAGCCGGAATCTGATGTGCCTACGAGCAGGCTGGTTTGCATTCTTCCCAAACTTTTGGGGGCCTGACGCTCATTTTCATTAAGCCCTTATTACAACATCACCCAGAGCTCTCAAAAGCCTGGAGATGGGCGTAGCCGTAATTAGCATCCACTTAAAAGCACCTTCACTCTGCCAGCACAGTGCAATGGGCTATAGCGTGACAGAATCATGCCCTCACAGCCCTCCCTGGATATGACAGTGAGTTCTCATTATATACCTAATGAGTTTCCCCCTGATTTTAATCCTGTGAAACTACTTGGACTTGACCACGTCTTGCGGCAGCGAGTTCCACGAGCGATGATGCAGCTGCTCGGGCAGAACCAGGCGTGTGCTTGCAGCAGCACATTTCCCTCTCATATAAAATTATCCATCGGAAGGCTCTTATCCGGGCTGTGTGCTCTTACCTGTGTTGTACGCTGTAGGCATAGCAGAGAAAGGCAGCCCCTGCGTCAGCAAACTCGGAGTAGCCACAGAAACAACCGGTGTGGTTAAAGAGTGAGTTGCTTGGGAGACACCTAACCGCTGCGTATTCTGCTGGGGAAGCAAACGGGAGAGGGAGTTACAACCCAAATGCATTTTACTCTGTTGTCCTCGTGGGTTATGGCCCCCCAAAACCTCGGTCTGCAGCTGCCCCCCGGGCATGCACCAGCCTTTGAAGTGGACAAGGCCGATCACGGAGACTCTGGCCATTGCTCATTGCAACAAAGCAAAGTGCAAGCCACACCAGTTACAGACGTTTAGGACCCTTGTGACATTCATCTGCAGGTCACTTGGCATTGGCCTTGGATCACCTTTCTGCACAGGGCTGGGCTTCACCCACAAGGACCAGCAACATCCCTGCCTGCATGGAGGGGGATGAACAGTGGGATGCCTCAGTCTGTATTCCTTCTGATGTAAAAAAGAAGAGTCACTATTTTCCAGAGGATGCATATAAGGTTTGCTGTGCTACTCAGGGAGTGAGATAAAGGTACCAAACCAAAGCAGGACTGGCTAACGCAGCGCAGAGCTGACACATCCTCCTCCCTGCAGCACTGGTGTCCAAAAATGAGCCTCCTGCCTCTAAGGCAAGCTGAAGATGCTGAGCGTCGCTCTCAGGATTTTAAAAGCACTCCGGCATCCTTAAACTTGAAGTCCAGTGCTCAGCAACCTGCCGGTGCGGTGCCCTCAGGAGGTTTGGGTGACTCAGGCATTAGCAGGTCCACTATGGAAAAATTCTGCCCTTGGACCGGTGCATGCTAGCCTCCCTCCGTGGTTTTCCAGGCAGTTACGTGGGCAGATCTACGGGTCAGATTCAGCCCTGTTTACAAGGCAGATAATCTAGGCTGTCTCTGCTGATCTGATTTAAATCAGACTCAAGAGGCTTGACTCTAATCTGAAGCACCCCGGCACACGTCACCCTGCGAAGACTGGGGCAGTGCCCAGCTTAAATCACGCCTGGCACGAGGCTGGCTGCATCCCCAGGGAGCCTTCCTCCTGGCTTGCTGCGAGGTGCCGAGGGCTCCCAGGACATTTTAGGGCTGGGCATAGGACCCTGCCATGATTCACGGCCATGCAGACCTCCCCTGGGATAAGGCTGGAGGCTAAAACCCCCTGCCCTTGCCACCTCATGAGGGTGACAGCACCCCAGTGTGCTGGATTTGCAGCGCCCTGCGCCCACATGCTGCCCAGCCCGCAGGTCCCTCCCCACCACCCAGGGAAGGCGATTACCAGGGCTCTAATTGCTAAAGCCTTGGGGCTGTAGGAGCAGGTTTTCCTGGCGTGCATCCTGCTGGCAACTGCCCACTGCTCGCTGGTTAAGGATGCTGCAGAGAAATGCCTTCACGGTGGGCAGGATTCAGCCCCGTCCCTCTCTTGCCTGCACCAGACCCTGAGCCAGCCCAGCAGGATGCGACCCACAGCCCCATCCCCTCCGTCCCCTGGCAGCCTTACACCAGGGTTCTACGGCTTTCCCAGGAAAGCGCCGGCATTGGAACGAGTCCGGCCGTGCCGGAGGGCTGGGGCAGTGGGACGCTCTGGGAATGGGGCAGCAGCCACCCCTGTTACACCACGAGAAGAGGGCTGGGGATGTCAGACCCGGCTGCACTGCAGGAAGCACCCAAATTTACATCCCGATTCATGCAGGTAGGAGGTGCTGAAGTGTGCAAGCTGCCCCCCCCCCACCCCGTGCCACTCACACCACCGTGCACCTTGCAAAACGCTCCCGGTTGCAAACTGCCATTCGGGCTCGTGACAAAACCATGCAGGCATGCTCCCAGGTGAGCTCGCTTCTCGCCGTAGGCTTGGTGAACGGATCCTGCTCTACCCTTTGGATCAGGGAAGTCTAGAGAAATGGGGGGACGCCCTTCTGAACCCACTAAAAGAGCAGACAGTGTTTGGAGCCTAAAGCTGCCGGGAGCTAACCCTAAGGGTGGGCAGGGGCTGAGCCCATGGGCAAAGGGTTAAGGGCAGCGGGGCAGGTCTCAGTGGAGGGGCAGCTGATTCATCCGGCTGCCTGTGTGTAAAGAGGTGGGAGTTGCCTTTTAGAGAGAAGATCTGGTGTGTAGGTTGAGCAATATGGAGGGAGCAAATCTGGGGAGAAGGTTAGCAGAGCAAGGGGGGTGGGGGGGCATCTGCACCAGGCGGGATGAATCCGCAGAGCAGGCGAGACAGGGCTCTGCTTTCCCCTTCCCGATCCAGCTGTGCTGAGGTCCCTGTGTGTGTGTCCCCACTCCCAGATTTCATCACCCTCCACCTCCCGGCTGCCAGCTCAGCTTGGGCGAGGACTGTACTTCACTTCAGGCAAAAATCAGCTGGGTTAGCTCAGACTAACAATTAAAACTGTTAATGCCAACCCGGCTGATTTTTGCCTAAAGCAAGCTGCTCCACCAGCTCGGAGACAGGCAATGCCCTCTGGCAGCGGGAACCGTGATGAGCAGATGGGGAGGCGGGTGGTGACTGTTTTCTCTCTGCAGATGGGGAAACTGAGGCACAGAGCTGCTGGGAGGGGGCCATTAAGCAAGAAGGGTTTTAGGGCATGGAGAGGGGCAGAATTCAAGTCTGCCAAAGCCCTGGCCAATCTTTTCCCTGGCCAAGAGTCTCCTTGCAGGCTGCGAGAGGTATTGGCTTACTCCTGTGTTTTTGGAGAGCTTTTCCCTGGCTGCGTTAGCTGCATCCTACAGCGGCTCTTGCCCTTTCCTCACTGCGCTGACCTGTCGCCCATCTGCCCTGCACCAGAATAGCAACAGAACAGGATGAATCATTGCCACAAACAAGGTGGTGTTCACTTTGCTGGCGGGCAGAGGAGGGGAGAAAAGCCATAAAAATAACATGGAAAACTGCCCCTGTGCACAAAGGAGGTTTAGGGAGTGCACTAGCCAGCCAGTGGATTTACACAGGCTTTAAATAATATCCTTAATATGGGAAGAGCCCGATTTACTCCCTATCTCTCATGTGGTGGCAGTGGGCCAGCTCTTCCTGTGCTGTAAACTGTGGTGGCTCCAGCAAGGCCCACGGGGCAGGTCCCCGGGCGATTGCGGTGTCCAGGCTGGCTCTGTGCAGCACCGGCCCCAAAAGGGACCCAGGCTGATCTCCCCTGGGAAACCAGCACAGTTTTTTTGGCCTTGGTGGAGAAACAGGCACTTCACAGCTCATGCCAGCTCCTTCTTTTCCATAGGGAACCTGATTTTCCTAAAAGCGTGTTTTGCTCGGGATTGATTTTCTGTGGCAGGACTGGATGTGACATTTGTGCTGGCGCCCGCATCCCGCTGCGTTCCCAATGGAGGACAAAGGGGCCGGTGACAACCCCCTACGCGCGCCCCACGCCTTCGCCAAGCCAGGGCAGGGTGTGGGGAGCAACGGGACAAGCGGCCCACATCCCACCCCGCTGTGATGCACGCTCAGCAGGGAACTCACCAGAGCCAAGTGGTCCTCCGTCTGCCCGCAGGAGAACAGAGAGAAAACCGAGAGGCACCGTTAACTCGACAGCCCCGCCAACCGCCGCGCCGCCATGCTCACCGGCGCTGTGCCCTCACCTACCACAGGGCACGTATGGTGCATATGGGTTAAACTTGTGCCTTATGCAGGGCTTTTGCACTGTGCTTGTTTGCAGGGCACAGAGCTTTGCACCATGATGTTTGCATCCGGCACGGTGCAAACAGGAATCCAAGCCTTCCTCCTCGGGTCTCCCTGCCAGCACGGCCCCAGCCAGCTCCCACGGCTATGGCACGGAATAGGTGCCCGCACTGCATCTGCTCTAGCGCAAAGTCCACCCTGCAACCTGTCTGCTGGCAGGGGATGCGCTCCCACCCTGGTCTCCTCGCAGACCTCTGTCAGGCACTCACCAAATGGTGCATTAGCCCCTTCCCGCTCTGCGAGGTGATCACACGTAAATCTGGCTTGCGGCTGTTGGTGGCGAGCTGCGTGCTGTGGGAGGGCGGTGGCGGGGACTTGGCTGGGATGATCTTGCCCAAGCTGCTGCCGTTGGACACGGGAAGGAGACCTGGAGAGGCTCTGGCACTCACGTAGCCGTTTCCTGCAGGAAAACGGGTGACAGGAAGGAAGAAGGTGAATGCACAGCGGTGAATGCACGGCGGTAGTAAACACATGCACGGCAAGCGGTGTCACAGCGGGGCTCCATGGGTGCTCCTCCCCGGGAGAGCAGCATCGCATCCCCCCAGGCTCCCCAAAACCCTTCTGCACACCAGGCACGCTCATCCGCCACCCCTGAGCAGGTACCTGCCCACCTGCTGGCAGCGCGGTGCAGCCCCGAGCAAATCGGGTAGTGCTGGCAGCCGCTCAGATGCCTGCAGCGGGTGCATCCTCCCCACCAAGACCAGGCAAACCTGCCCCAGGCCAGGCAGGGGCAGAGGCAGGGCAGGCAGCGGAGCCTGAGGTCCCAGCACCCAGGGCAGCCCCACAACCTGCAGGAACCCACAATCACTACTGCAATAACAACCAATAAATATTACAGGCCTGATTTGCAGCAAGGCCTCTTTATGCTGCTCTGGCAGGGTACTGGGGCCCTAGCAAGGGGGGCATAATTACTGTTACATTCACTTTTAAGGTCTCTTTATGGTACCAGAGCAGCGAAAAGGGGCTGTGGCAGAGTGAGGACTCAGTTCACTGATCCCACTGCCCCTTTGAAGATCTGAGGTTCCCTCCTCCTCCTCCTCCTGCTGCCCCACTTAAGGATTTTATGTGCAAAGAGGGGGGGGGAAAAAGAAGAAAGGAAAGGAAGAAAAAAATTTAAAAAGGAAAAGATTTGATGAACATCAGGAAAGGAATAAATTGGATCAGATTACTGTTCTGATGAGGGTGGGTTTTTTTTTTTATGAATAGGCCCCAAAGATAGAAAGGCGTTTAGCAATCACCAGGATTCAGCCCTCATATTCATTGCACGTTAGACCGGGAAAAATAGGTCGCTGATTGCATTATTAATCACATCTACCATTGCGCTACATCTGCATTTCAGCAGGCGGCTGGTGGCAGTGACGCTGCAGCCGTGGCGCGTGCTCATCAGGGGCCGAGCACCAGCCGCTGCCTCTCCCAGAGCTGTCCCGGGGCCGGACACATCGGTGATGGGGTAAACCAGGTCATGGGGGATGGCCACGCACCCCGGGAGCCACAGGTCTGATCCCACCGATGCCGCCGGGGATGAGAGATCCTGCCCCACCAGCTGCCTGGGAGCTGCCCATCAGGGATGCGCGGGCTGCTGCAGACTGGCAGCCCTGTACTGCAAATCCTGTATCCACGTCCCTGCCCCAGGGAGGGGACAGGCTTTCCTGTTGCCAGCGAGGCGTCCTCCCAGTCCCGAATCGCCATGAGCAGCCACGCATAAGGCATGCACCTGGTGCCATCAGGTTCCGGGTACCTCCACGCACTGTGAACTACATGCATTTCACCTGCGAGGTGCATAAAATTCCCTGAGCTACCTTTGCTACCTGCAGTGTCAGTGGCCGTGCAAAAACCAACGGAAGCAAGGCCAAAAGAAATGTTAAACCCCTGGACGTTCTCCTTCCCGAGGTGGCACCAACGTGGATGCACAGGCGGCTCTTGTGGCAACTGCCACTTTGAGGTATGCCACATTATCGTGCGCGTTAGTTGAGGTGTGGATCGGGGTGGCCTCAGCACTGGCGGGGACCAGGTTTGGGTCCCAGCACTGCCACTCACCCCCAAAGGGGCTTCCCTGGCAGGGGACCTTGGGTGCTGCCATCGGAGGAGACCCTCCCAGCCTGGATCCAGCCACTCCCATGAGCTGGAGAGAGAAGGGCTGCACTCCCTCTAGGGTTTCTGGATAACCCTGACCCCAAAAAAGGGGTTCAAAAGCAGAGGACTCCGGGCTGCCTTTGCACCCCCTGGTGTAAATTTGAGCCTGGCAGCAAAGCCAGGGCTAGCCAGGGCAGAGCATCCCCCCCACAACAGGGCAGGCAGGGTGGGCAAGGCGCTTCCCACCCCAGAAGCACCGAGGACGGTGCACGCCATGGCGTGCAGGCAGGACACGGGGATGCAGCCCGCATTGCTGCAGGATCCGGCCAGAAGCACCCGGCGGCTGATGACTCAGAGGCAGCAGGTGATTGCTCGGTGCTGCAGAGACTGCAAGGGAGGAGGAGGAGGAGGAGGAGGAGGAGGAGGAGGAGGAAGAGATGTCCCAGGTACCCAAAAACCGCAAGCACAGTGCCAGAGCCACAGCCATGCTCCCCTCCCACAGCCGGCATGGGGAGCCCCAGGGACGGTGGGGGTCCAGGGCTGGCCATGGCCGGGCTGCCCCTGCTCCTCGCACCCGTTTCCTGGAGCGGCGGCAGGAACGCAGGGAATGCTCCGGTGACGTCAATGCTGACATTCACGGGCCCTGCCAAGCTCCGAGCCGCCACGGCTGCTCCCAACAGCTGACGTGGGGGCGGTCTCGGGGGGGGTGCGGGAAGGGGCCGCAAAGGTGGCTGGGGGCCATGGCACAATGGCCCCTTCCCCTCTGCCTTCGAAGCAGCAGCAAAGCTCCGCGTCGGGTGCTGCAAAGGCCCCGGCGAGATGCCAGCCCCACGAGCTGCCCTGGCAGGGTTTGCTCTGGAGGTGCAGCCAGGGAGAAATTCCCCCGGCGCTGGCATGGCTGCTGCCCGGCACAGGGAAAACTGTTATTCCCTGGAGCGGACGCGGCGCGGGGGGACAGGGACGGGGTGAGCCGCGGTGCTGCAGAACCGCGTCTGGACCAGCCCTGTCCATGCAATCGGTGGAACCCACGTTCCAATTTGGTCTTAATTGGGGCCACGCTGAATTTCACACTCCTCCTCTGTGCTGTCGGCTGGAGCCCCACCGCAAAAAAGCCTCCGAGGGGGTGACAAGCCAGGCTCCTGGTGCAAGGCTGCCTTCCTCGCTCCGCCTCACCCGGGGATGGACGGCATCCACCCTGCTAAGCCCTGGACCGCAGCCCACCCTGCCCCAGCCCGCAGCAGCGGTGCCGGTAGCGGCAGCTGCTTCCCAGCAGGACCCAGGGGCTGTCATTGGCTTTTGGGTTGTACCTACGCAAGCGCCAGCTCCAAAGACCTCACCCTGCAGACAGCGGAGGCAAACCATGGGGAAGGAGGTATTATTAGCGCATTTTATAGCTGGGGAAGCTAAGCCACAAGGTCTGAGCCTTGTTAGCACTGAGGCTCTCGCAGTGGAAAGGGACCTTAATGAGCTTTTTCCCTTGCAGTAAAGTTCCTTTATAGCCCCCAAGCACACAGGAGTTGACTCACCTGAGGTCAGGGGAGGAACTGGTTGCAGTGGGGAGCTAAACCCAGAGCTGCCCAAATCACAGTCCTCAGTGGATATCATCTCAATCAGCCCCTTGGTTTGCAGCTCTCCCAAAGACCCAGGGGAGATGCTGGCCCCCAGGACGCACCACCCCGCCCCCCGCCTTGGTTTCTGGGGTCTCCATTGAAACCAGCAGCCCCCAGCAAAGGTGCTGGCATGGAGCTCCTCATGCCAAACAACAGCAAAGTCTTCCCTAGGGCTTCTCCATCAACCCATGGCAGTGAATGGCAAAGCAAAATCCTACGTTACGTGAGGGGAAACCAAGGCAAGGAGGGGCTAACAGAGCCAAGGGCACAGGTCCCAACGCCCACACCACTTGCCGAAAGGCGACAGCTCCTTACTTACCCACGGGGCTCGGGCAGGCTCCGTTCGTGTTGTTCAGATCTCCCCCAAGCATCGCCCCTGCAAAGCAATTGGAAACACGGGGTCACCGTCTGCTTGGAAACAGGGTGAGCATCCCTCCTTTTTTTGGGGGGGGAGCACAAGGGAGGAAGGCAGAGGAAAATGAGCGGTGTTGCCTTCCCAGGGAGAAAGTCCTGGGCAAAATGAGCAGCATTCCTGGTGATCAGGTTGGGAAACATTATCCAGGCAGATCCGTTTCCTTTGGGAAGGAGCCAGGCGGCACAGGAGCCCGCTCCAAAGGAGGTGGCTTGGAAAACACTGAGGCTATTTTATTCCAAGCCTCGCTTTGGGGGACACGGGGCCGGTGCTGCGGGGGAAGAGAGCCCCAGCAGCAAGAATTGAAACACTATCTCCCCTGTAATGTTCACACCGAATGGAAACCATCCCTGCGTGCTGCCAGGACGCTGCTACAATTCGGCCTCCCACGGTCCCAACGCCTGGAAAGCACTGCCGCTCCCCGCCGTGCCGGGAAAAACCATACCAGAGGCCTTTTTATTCCCAATAAACTGAATGTTTTGCCTCGCCTGCAAGAAGATTTTATTTTTTCTGCCTTGTTATTGAGTTATTTCTGAAAGCCACCTATTCACAGTCTAGGGCTGCCTGGCCACACCACGGGCGGTGATTTCGGCCAACAGCCGGCACGGAGGCTCCGGAGCTGCAACCGCAGTCATCCCGGAGCCCTGAGCAGGGGAACGAGGAGCCTCCGATCCCAAACCCCACCTCTAACCACTGCCCAACCCTTCTGACCCCAGATGGGGAAACCTGAGACAGAAAAACCTTTTTTCCAGCCCCTGGGTCTCAGGTCTGGGCTTGCAGCGAGCCCCTGAAAGCAGGAGGAGTGCTGGAGGGCTGAGCTGCTGCCGTGCAGGGAAGCACGTTTGCTCCCCATGTGGGAGCATGACCAGGGATGGTGGTGGTCCCAAAAATATTTTACGGCTTGAAAAAGGGCAAGGTGACCCCCAAAACATGGCAGCCGCGGCACCGTAGCATCCTCCCTTCAAGAGATGGGGATGCAAAGCCAGACGTCCCCATGCCTCTGATGTCCTGGAGGAGGGACTCCATCAGAATTTGGGGGTTGTGCCCTACTGCGGGACTCCACTTGCACCCCAGATTCCAGCATCATGCTGCCAAAGTGTGCTCACCCCCTCAGGCGAGTGATGCCGACCTCACTCCCAGCCCCATAAACCCCTTCGGCCACCCTTCTCCCACGCCGTCCCTGAGCAGACGGCATTGGCTGGCGCCGAGATCCCAACCCAGCGCTCTGCTGCGCATTTGCTTTGGAAACAACACCACAGCGCTCTGCTCTCAGCTCAAGTGCATTGCTAAAAAAAAGATTTAAGGAAAAAAACCCCCCTCTTCTAACATGCAAGGGCCTGGCTCCTATAAACAGGATTTCTTCCGTGTCCCAGGCAGCGAGTGAATGAGACGCAGATGGCCGGACTTGGAACACCTCTGCGCTCGCAACCGCGAAATTATCCCCCTTCAAACGAACAGCAAGCGAGCAAGATGGAAACGGCGAGCCTCCAGCAGATTCTGCATTACAACAAAGCCTCTTTTTTTTTTCGGCAGAGGGGCCTGTGAGAGGGCAAGGGAGATCCCTGCAGCCGACGCTCCGGCTGTCTGTGCCCGAGGAGGGCTCTGCCACCCAGCCTGGAGTTAGATGTTGCTCTTTGGGACCAGTCCTAGAGAAGAAAGACCCCTCTTCCTTGGATCTGGGGGCCTCATCCTGGTATCTGAGCACTTCAAGCCACCCCTGAGACTGCACGGAGAGAGCAGTAAGCAAACAAGCCAGCTTTGAACCACGGTTCCTATTGCATCCCAACCCAGGCACCTCTTTCTGCTCGCTTTGACCAAGCCACCCAATCTGCTTGTGGAGGCACCTCCCAGCCGTTCTTCTACCCCTCCAGCCCCTTTGTAAAGCCCTCCCTGAGCTCTCACAGCCCCGGGGGCCGCAGCCGAGTGCCCACCGCCCAGATGTCCGGATGGTCACAGTCACCGGCTCTGCCATTTGCAGCCCGTGCGACTTTTACAGACCATCTGCGACAACCAAAATAGCAGGCAGGGGCTTTCTGCACGCTATTATTATTTATGATCGCACTGCGGGAGAGCCGGGCTGTGGTCACACGTCGTCGTCGTCGTCCCCCCACCACTGCAGGGGACACGGGTGTCGAGCAGCTTTCCCCCAACCTGCCCTCCACCACCCACCACTGGTCCCTGCTGGAAACGACTGCTCCCTCCAATCTGTCAGCAGATTCACATGAGTAATCGCTCAGCGACCAACTGCAACCAGCACAGCCCGACTCAGAAAAGCCCTTTTTAGGCAGCAGTCCCATGTCACCGGAGTGCCACCGGTGAGCGGGATGCCGGCAGCCACCCCCAAGCCTGGGAACGGCGCCGGGTGACTCATCTCCTTGCGCTGCCCAACCTCGAAACAGATCCCTGCAGGGATCCAGCTCTCAAAAAGACCTTGGTAAGGCGGGGCGGGGGGGTCACCCCCAGTGGGGGGCCAAGGCACGAACTGGGGGCATCAACCTCTGGCAGGAGGGCAGGAGCAAGCATCCATGGGCAACAACTGTTCCAGGCTGCTCCTGCCACCCACGGATGCAGGGACACGACCTGCCCCCAGGCAGGGGAGGGGGGCAGCGGGGGTGTCCCCTGCTTCCTGGGATGTCCCGTGCTCGGTGCTGCATGCCCAGCGAGCCTCTTGCAGGGACAATGAGGAGGTGGGGATGCGAAGGGACATGGCATCGCTCACCTGCGCTGGCTGGCCTCTGTGGCAGCCCCGGGGACACGGTGTTTCTCTGCAGCGCCGGTTGCTGCGGCGAGAGGAGCCGGGGGTCCGTCAGCGAGGAGGTCACCAGGGACTGGGTCACTAGCGAACTGCCCGGGTTGCTGAACTGCAGCGTGTTTTGGTTGGTCACCGGCACCGTCACGGGCATGGCGAAGTTCGGAGCGGGCACTGTGGACTGAACAGAGAGCAGGGGGTAAAGGGGAGCAGGCACTGCCGGGTGAGGAGCAGGGGTGAAGTTCCTCGCTTTGTAGGCTCTGAGCAAGAATGGGCCTCATCCTGCATCACAGCAGCAGCAACACCCCACTGCTGAAAAAGGGGGGACAGTCCAGGTCCCCCCAAGCCCCCATTTCACTGCTGACCTGTACTGCTGCGCTTGCACCCTGCCCACGCCGGCATCTCGGAGGGATGCACCAGAGCCCAGACCCCCCCAGTGAATACCGGCAAGAGCCATCGGCTGTCCACTCGCACACATCAAAGCTTTGCAACCAGTTGCTTTGGTCTCATTTTCAGGCTGTATTTCTTTACCCCCAGTGCTTTCATGGCAGCCTGCAGAGAGGTGGCTGGAAACACCCCAAAGCGTGAAGGCAGGCAGCAGCATGGTGGTCCACCCCCGCCAGCAGCGAGAGCGGCTGAGCTCAGCACTGCCCTTCATCCTGCTGCAGAGGCCAAGCAGCCCGCAGAGGTTTTACGAGGCTGTTCCTCATCCAGCGGGATGGGAAGAGCCCTCCCAAAGAGCCAGCAGCGGATCACAGGTTTGGGCTGACACTGCTGCCGGCAGCCGAGCATCTGGGAAAGGTTCGTTTTGGTCCACACAGTCCCCAGGTGACACTGGGATCCATCCTGGTAACTCCGGGAGCTGCTGGGAAGGAGGAGGAGCTGACCCCAGGGAAGCAGGAGCATCGCTAAAGCCCTATCCTTGGCCCCAGGTCGAGGACCAGCTTCACCTACCAGCGTCCCTGCTGGAGCCAGACTCGCCGTGATTATCCTAGCCGTCTGTCTTATGTCACTGATTTGCTCTTCTTTAACAGGAGCAGGCACCTGCTTAGAGGCTTTAGCAGGGGCTTTGCTAAAGTCCCACTTTAATTTGTTCAGGGCTGGAGAGGCAGAGCAGCCCAGCGCTGGATGAGACCGTGGCAGGGCCGGAGCTGGGACCCCACAGGCTGCACCGGCGAGGGCAAGGGGAGCCGAGCGATCCCCCCCATTGCAGCTGGGTGGGGGCTGCTGCCCTGTGGCCCCCTCCCCTCCAGAAATCTGCTCCTAGATGGGTGATTTTGTTTCAGGGTAGAGGGGAGGACGGGAGGAGGGAGTGGTGCTCACCCACGCCTCACTGCTGGAAACCCTCCCCACCAGCCTCTCAAGGGCATCCCGTCCTTCAGAGATCCCGCGGCTGCAGCCAAGCTCAGAGGATGGCAGCTCTGAGCCTGCGCTGTGGCATTGCTCTGAGGGCTGCCAGCCCGCCGTTCAAAGGGACTGGGCTCGGCGTTTCCCAGACCTTTACAGACTGCCGGGGAGAGCTGTAACGCAGAGCCCTCCCTCTGCTCGGCCCCAGGAGCTTATTCTGCATGGCTGCAAAATGAGGAGGAGGAAGGTTTCTTGGGCGCTGCATGAACACCAAAGCAGCATCGTGTAATAAATCACTGCAAACGCATCTGCGCGCGCGCGTGTTCCCGGGAAGGGAAAGGAAAAGCTGACCCCTGTGCATTGCGTCTTAAGCAACGCCATGATAAAGCCGGGTGGTTGATACACCAACTGGAGAGCAGAGTTTTGCTTTTAAGCCGTTATCTATCCCATTGCACCTTCAAACAAGCATCAGGCTGACGCTGCCCCAGCATGCAGCGAGATGCACACCCAGGCCACCAGTTAAGTGGTCCCAGGTCCCCCCCACCCCAGGGAGGACACAACTAAAAAAGGCAGCTTGCACATCAGTCCAAAATCTGAGGGAGAAGATGCACACATCAGCCAAACCTCAACGATTTCTGTTTTCATTAAAAGCGATTACAAACATCAAATGCAGAAGCCACGCCAAGGCCTCTCTTTAGCGAACAAGGCTTTTGTTAAGCTTCCCCGGCCACCGAGTCTGGTTAGTTCTTGTCACACGCAAAACCAACCCAGCTGGTTAAAAAGGAAAAGCATCTTCTTCAACTGCACACGCTCCACCTGCATCACTCAGTCCCTTGCTGCAGAGGGAGGTTTAGTGGGGGAGCCAGATGCTACGCCCTGACTACGAAGCGCCCAGCACCTGAATGCCACCAGCCAAAATGATTTCAGGGCACAGACTGCTCCTTTATGGCATGTCTGGATGCTGCCTCCGGCGATGGGAGCCTGCTTGGAGCCCTCCCTTTGCAGCAGAAAAATACAGATACTAAGCAGTCCCTGCTTTCCGAGGTTGTTCTGCACCAAGGAGCAAGCTCTGCTGGCTTTTTGACCTATTTTGCACCAGTGGCAGGACTTGTGTGAGGTACTGGGACAGGGGGGGGTATACACCCAGCCAGGGCTGTACCCCCACCCCACACAAGCCCTGATGGGGTGGAAACCTGTCCCCTGTTAGTGAAACCAGGGAGAAACCTCTGGGAGGATGAGGCAGGGCCAAGTTTTGCAGGAACTAATCCTGCACTAAACCCACTCCGGAGGGCTGGGCTTGCTGTCACAGCAGAGCTGCGAGCAACCATCACTGCCTGCACCCCGTTTTGCTTCACCTCCTCAGATCTCCCAGAGCTCGGGGCAGCCACCCCCCGCTGAGATGCAGGGGATGGAGATGCAGATTTTGGGGTCTTTGGGAGGTTCCTGGAGCAATGTAGCGCTCACCTGCTGAGTCAGCAAAATAAAGAGCCGTGGATTTCACAAGACCTAATTCTCAAGAAAAGCCAGAATTTTAACTTGTGGGGGCTTGCCAAGCACAGAAGGGCAGATTATTTTTTGTGGGGTGGGGGGGTGGTATAATTTTTGCAGTGTTGCATCCAGCCCTTGAAAATGAGCCTCCTTTCTGCTCCTGGCAGCATTAATTATGGCTGCAGCGACTTGGGGCTAATCCCTCTGAAGAAGCCTTTGCCTGCATCAATAGTCTCTGCTCCCTTGAACTAACGACTAATTTGAAACGTGTTCCCCTCCTCCTCCCATCTCCTGACACAAATCCCTTTCAGCACTGTCCTGATGCCACCCCGGTGACGGCTCCGGGATCACAGGCTAAAACCTCCCTGGATTTCTGCCACGGCCACCAGATGCCCCGAGGGCTCGGTGGATTTGAGGGGAATTAATGCCGAATAGCCCAAACCGAACTGTGTCTTGCAGGGATGTGAGGGGCGCAGCACCCGTCGCCAGCTCGCATGAACGCTGGGGTCTTAACCCAGGCAAAAATCCTTTTTTGGGGAAAAAAAAGGTGAAAAAGGAGGCCCTCATCCAGTATTTGCAGCAAAGGAGGGGAGAACAGCAATATTCTCCTGCACTGCCCCGACGGAGCCAAGGAGACTCGGGAATGCCGGAGCTAACGGGAACAGTTTTCCCAAGGGTTGTTCCTGCTTCTCTGGGTGAGAAACAGGAGGGACGCTCAAGGCCCCTCGTGCACCTCACCCATCAGCCCCGGGGTTGCATTCGGGGCTGGGGGGGGCTGCGTGCATCGGCTCCCAAGGCACAGCACGGCTCCAAAGCAAAGCCATGCAAAATCCACACCTCACCCCCGTCACCTGGAGGCATCCGGAGAGGGGGCAAGGGGCGGGCTGCAGACCACCAGCTACTCACTGCGAGCCGGTAACTCTGCATCATTTTATCAAACTCCTCATCAATCTTTTTATATTTCTCTTCCGTCTGTGGGGTCAACGCAAACACTTCATCCCCTTCCGGGCTCTCGCACTCCCTGTGCTTCTTGTTCAGCGCCTGTTACGTTTGGGGGGGGGGACGGATGACGGACACGGAGGGGGTGTCGGGGAGGGATCAGGGGACGAGGTTGGAGGGAAATCGAACAGAAGAAAAACAAAACAAAAAAGAACATATAATGAAGGTTTTCCAGCCAAGGGGCAGGTACTTACACCGTATCGCTTGAACAGGATATCCAGATCCTCGCTGCCTTTACGGTATTTATCCTCCATCAAGGGGCTCTGGTCTATCGAGTCATCGCCGTCGGGCTCCGGGCTGTCACAGCCGTTAAAACCTTTCTTTCTTAATGTCTGAAAACACAACCGGGACAGTTTGAGATCTGGGAGTGGGGATGGGCAACATGGGCAGCTGCCTGAGACGGGCAGGTCCCCCCCAGAACATCCCCCAGACCATAAAGATGAGGACTTGCCCTTGCACAAATTAACACCTTCATTGACCTCGATGGCATTAAAGAGTCAGGATCCAGCCTTGAGGTTTTGATGCCGGGGTGTCTCTAATTTAGGAATTACAACGTGGGGATGGATGGAGAGAAACTTCTTTGATTTCAAAGGATCTGTTTACGCCGGAGCTGAATTTGGCCCCGTATCAGCTCAGACACATTTGTCACCTACAATTACTACAACAAGGAGGGGAAATAAACCTTAATGATATCTGCTCTCCTGCTAAAAATAGGGAAAACCTTCTTACAAATAGGAAAATAAGAAACCAAAATAATAAGCAAAAGGCGGCTTTTGCCCCTCGCAAAACCAGGTGGGTGGCATTTACCAAATGCAAAGGTACCCCAGCAAAAGCATCACCTGAGAGGGTGCGTGGCATGGCGACAGCCCGCAGGTGCCAGAGATGGCAAGCCCTGTTGGGGGGTGACACAGGGGGGTGACGGTGACAACACCAGGGCAGCAAACCCCACACCAAGACCAGCAGCAAAGTTCCCGGACGCTGCTGCAGAGAGTTAACGATGCGACATCTCCGCCTTCGTTAACAGGAGCCCAGTAATCACACGGTCAGGCTATGCGCAGGGTGTAGTGAAAACCCCAAAAGTTCCTCTTTCGTGCTTGGTAGCCAATTTGCAGATTGCGTTACACATGCACATTTAATCATTCTATTTTCAAAATACCAAAAGCAATTAGGCGTTATTATGGAACCATCACTTGCCAATTTATTTTTTTTAGAAGTCAAAGCTACAGAATTTCCTGGAAGTCTTGATCTCTTTTCGTGCCAAATTCAGGGGGGGGGGGGGGGGGGAGCCTTGACAATTCTCCTCTGTCTTCCTAAACAGTAATAAACATCTCTATTTTGAGGCCAAAACGTATCCTGGAGTGGCGCTTCATCTACCTGCAAGCTCTGGGAAACACGGAGCTTGTAGGGGAATTTTTGCTGGAGCAGATAAAAACCATCGGTGTCTCCAGAACGGGTGGAAATGCCGCACGCAGGTTCTGCTCGGCATCGGTACAGCACTCCACACCACACAGCTCTGCCTCTTCCCGATGGTCTTGCTTGGTGGATGCTTACGCCGGGTGGCAAAGGTCAAGCAACAGGCACCAAACCCATCTCCCAGCCTGTTTTCCATCCAGCTTAAGTTTTTCACACTATTGTCAATTAAAATCACTCCTTTGCGGTCGTAATTTTAACACTCGTTACTTAGATTTAATGTGCAGAAGGGAAACATCCTCATCCACATCCAGCTCCACCAGCGGAGGGTCTGGCTCACTCTTGATCATGGCAGCATTGGTGTTACCAATAATTCCTGTTACCTAATAATTAATACCTAATTACCTAACAATAATTCCTGGTACCTCTAATTTGTGTTATTTATTGTCTCTTTATGGAGAAGGGTAGTGGGAATCCCAGTCATTGGCACAAATGGGAGGTTCCCAGGGCTTTTTGTGCAGGTTCCTGAGGATTTTTCCCTATTATTTTTCTATTTTTGTACATGTCCTTGGTTTTTTTTTAGAATGGGCCAAAACGGGTGCTGCTGGTGGGGAAGGAACGGCTTTGCCTTTTTTTGGGAGGGGGACGGACGGATGGACTGCTTTTTGCGGATTTTTTTCCCAAACCCTTTTGTTTCACCGATGCAGCCAAAAAGACAGAAAGTTGAGCCCTTCCTTAAAAAAAACCCGAGTTTTTTCCTCCTTCTCTTTCTCTTTCAGAGGCAAAATGGAAAAAGTTGTTCCATGAGCAGTGGAAGGGATGAAGCCGGGTTTCCTTCAGGCATGTGCGAAGGGTGCTGGCTGGGGAGACTCTCCGGTGTCTAATAGGGGGCTGTGCCCACCTCGCAGCAGTTCTCTTTGCAGGGATATTAACTGGATCTCTCACCTCTGCCCTGGTCGGGAAATGTGAAGGTAATCTCTTGCATCCCTGGAAGCAATTCTCCTCTGCCAAAGGCTGCCGGTGGGTTCAGGAGTTGGGGGGTCAGATGAGCAATCTCCGTCCCTTGGGAGCCTCGAAGAAGGGAACCTCACAACTGAATTTTCAAGAGGTTTCAGCCGAGCAACAACATCCTTCTCCTTTCTAAAATCTGCAGCAATGAAGTGGCCCAGGAGGTTTTAAGCAGCTTCCAGTTCCCCCGGCTCTGCCTCATATTTACCACCCAAAGAAAGCGCAGGGAAGAGCAATGGGCAGATGCCACCGGCCATGGCATTTTGCCATTTCTAAGCCCGCGTGAAATTGTCCCGGGGGTTGTTCCCTCAACCAACTCTGTGGAGGAAAGCGGAGCAACGGAGGGAACGCAGCCCTGTTCATGCAGACCCAGCAAACCTCCTCCAAGCAGCTCACAGCATCGCCCCTCTCTGCATTTCCCAAGGTCCTTCTCCTCTGTAGGTCTAATATATTTGGTGTCGAATATTGCTTCAACTTAAGACAGCGGCTGTTGCCTTAGTCTCTTCCCTCTCCCCGGCCACTAACTTCACAAAATTAGTTGTAACTTAATTGGCTTTGAGACTCACACCTCCCTGCTGAGTTCGGTTCGCAGCATCCCAAGCTGTGAGGGGCAGCCAAGGTGCCACTGCAGAAAACCCACCAGCAGCCCCAGGAAGCATCAAGCCGATTGTGCAGGAGGAGGAAAGCCCTTCCCGGGCGTTGCAGGCAGCTGCTTGCAGTGTGAGATTGGATTATAACCCTCACTGCAGCGCGGGGCTGCTGGAGCTGCAGGCAGGGAGGGGAAGAAGGGGACAGGGATGGGCTCCAGAGCTGGCACAGCAGAGGATGGTGATGATCTGGAGCGCGGTGGGATGGGAAGCACTGGCAGCGGTGGGTGAGCAGGCCCCGAGTCGCAGTGGGACATGAGCCAAAGCAGTGCAGCTCGCAGCAATCTGCTGCTCAGAAAGAGGTTTGGGACAACAAAATGCCATTTCCAGCCATACGAGTGTCGGCTGGTGTTTTTTTCATTTTTTTGACCAAAAAAAAAGTCTGTCCTGCATTTTCTGCTTTTTGGCAAGATGATGTAAAAGGAAAACAATCCTGCTGGCTGGAGCAAGAATCAAACCCAAAGATTTCTGTTTTCAGGAACTCTGCAAGGTCTTTTAGAAAAGAGCTTTCCTTCTCCTTCCTCCTCATTCCCTTTTCCAGGAGGAAAACAGAAGACACAAAGAGGTGTGAAACCGTTTTGTCACTGGGTTGCATCCAGTGGCACACGACTATTTTTCATATAAAATAGACTTATAATCAATTCCTTCACAGCAGAAAACTTTCAAAGGAGAAAACCAGGGTGAGAATTTCACATAGCAAAAAAACCCCCACCACTCCCCACTTATCATCAGCCCATCTCCCTGCTGCTCCCACTCTATCGGGAGTCCCCCCATGGCAGGACCCGCTGCAGGTCCTGCTCTTCCAGGCAATATTCCCATTCCTATGATCCTAGCTCATACGGGACCAGATTTCCAACCCAAAGAGGGTGAGAGAGCAGCAGGAAACGCAGAACATGTGAGAGGAAATGATGCTCAACCAGGATGTGATCAACTTCCCTTAGAGGAGGGAGACAAAACCACCCCAGGCTTTGGGGAAGTCGGGATAAGGGTAAGGACAAGGATGAGGGTGAGGATGAAGATGAAGATGTGGCACCAGCAGCTGCCTGTGCACTTCGCCACCTCCCCAGCATCCTGCAAAACGCCTGATTTTATGCACCCCGGGGAACAAGAACCCCAGGAAGAATTAGGGAAAAAAATCAGCCCACCCCCCCCTCCGCAGGACATTCAGCCAAAGAAAGGAAAGAAATTGCTGTGTGACTTTAACTGGCTCTGGAGCATCCCCGTGCCTGGCTAGCTCTGCTCTCATCCAAGTCCCTTATCAGAAACTGGCACGTCAGCTGGGCTGCGAGGAAACGAGAAGCGACAGCGAGGAGCAAAGCCAGCGTGATCCCAGGCCGGGCGCGCACGTGGCACCCAGCGTGCCTGTCTGGGGGCCTCAGCTGTCCCCCGCCTGATCAAGGAAACCCCCCTCTCTGCATTAAGAGAGATTTTCTCAGACTTAAAAGCTTGCAATGACCAGGACTTTGCCGGGCATGGAGAGAGCCGCAGCGGTTGCGTGGTTGAATCCCACTCCCCAACGGCTGCTGCCGATCCCCGGCACGGCTGAAACACAGAGGTGGCCCCACAGGGGATGGTCCCCAAAAAGGCAGCCAGGGTGTTGAAACCGTCTCACACTGGGGCCGGGTACACTCATCGTAGAGCAGCTCTGCCTCTCGCTAAATATCCTGGGGGGATAAATCCCTCAAGGGCATCCCCGTGCAGCATGTGATGGGGTATGCCCCACAGACTGCACCTCCCCAGGACCTAAAAAAAAAAGGGGGGGATCTCATGTTTACTGCTGTTTTAAAACATAATTTGAACAGACCAACTTGTACCGCCCGGAGTTGGTGGTACCAGTGGCCTTTGGCCCCAGGAGCCCCCCACCCTGGCCAGCAGAGGAGACCCTGGCTCGGCCAAGCCACCGCTCACTGCCTCTCCACCAGGAAAATGAAATCAAGAGGCTTCTGCCTCGATTCACCCAGGTCCTGGTTGCTCCTCATCCTTTCTGAGATGCTGCCAGAGCCATTCACGGTTGCATCCCTCTGGTAGAAAGGGGCGACAGGCATTACAGGGAAGGCAGATGCATGCGGCAGCCCCTTAAAATCCACTTAAAATCATATTTGGTGGCAAATGCACAGCCTGTGCCTTCACGGCTTTATAAATGCTTGATGCTGGGGAAGTTTTGAGGATGCAAAGGTACTCTTGGAGCAGTCAAGTTCAACTGGGAGCCACCAAGAAACATGAGGTAAATTGGGTCTGTGCATGGTGGGGAGAAAGCCAGGCCGGTGGGACCTGACCTGGGAGAGGGGAGATGGCTAGGGGGGAGAGAAATCAGCACCAGGAGCAGGAATGGTCTCCTGGGGCGAGGGTAATTTAGGAAAGAAAACAGTAAAAATCTTAGAGCAGCCCTAACTCTGCTCCAAGACGAGACGAGGATGGGGAGGGATGCTCAACCAGCCTCAAAACCTGCCTGCGCCCCAGTGGGTTTCACTCCGAGGCAGCTCTGCCGGCAAGACGTGCCGAGCCCGGCATGTCTGGGCTCTTTTTCTTGCCATCCACCAATATCCTTCCACTCCCGATGTTCCTCTCTTTGGCTTTGGATGCAGATCCAGCTTTTCATGTGGTGCAAACACAGTATTTCTTTGGGTGCCAAGGACTGCGTGTAACTTGTCGGCTTGGGAGTGTTTGCATCTTGGACCATAAGGGAACAGAGAACGCTGCCCAAAATGTTTACGGTATTTTTAGGCCAAGACAAATCTGTTCGACGGTACAAGCGCCACAGTCTGAGCATCCCAGAGAGGCTGGGAGAGGCTGTGCTGACTAGCTTGGTGGGGAACCATGCCTGCAAACCCCAGCATTTTCACGGTGGACGGTCACTACCTGGCTCAAAGGGGCCAAAAAGTACATTTTTGAACCATTTCTAAGGCCTGTACACAACCGTGCGCTGGCAGAACAGTCTCCAAACCCCAGTGAGAGCAGGCAGGTGCTGCCAGATGCTTGGCCATGGCTCAATCCACTTCTGCTGCAGCAGCACATCGGTGGGAACCGGGTGGACAGAGAGGTGAAAACCTCAAGTCCAAACCTCTCAAAAAGACACATTTCACAGAAAGGGGCGGGGAGGGAAAGCAGGACGATTTAGGACGTAGGTTGGGTTTTTTTCCTTCTCCATGAAATCAAAGCCCGAGCGCACCGCCCAAGATGCACCAAAGGGATTCAAAGGCAGAAGCGGCACAGCCCGAGTGGCAGGAGAAGCCAATTCCTCCAGCAGCGCTTTGAAGTGGCAAAGCCTCGTGCTGTGTGAGGTCCAAGCCAAGCGGCTGCCTCCGATCCGCCCAGGGCCCTCCACGGGGCCATGCCACTCCACGGGCGTTAATTTATGCCCGCCTGTAATGTCAATAATTACCTAGCCAAGCCTTTCATTTGCCTGCCTTTGCCCGGGCATAAAGGCAGCTGCCCACACGCTGAAAAGCAACAGCTAAGCAGCTCCCATCTTCGTGGGTGCTGCCGAGGAAGAGGATCCGACTGATGGCCAAGATGCCATTGGCACCCTCCTGCAAGCCAAACACCCTGTGCTCAAGCCTGCCGATGCTCTGACAGCACCAGGAATGAGGAAAAAGCCGTTGGGGAGGGCCAGCACGGGGTCACCAACAGCAAATGGTGGCCGAGCATCTCCTGCAATGCTGGCAGGCTGGAGGAGGAGCACAGCCTTGGCATCAGCGAGCTTTGGACATGGTGCCCTTGGAAGTGCTGGGGTTGGTCAGACTGGGCTCACCACCCTTGGAGAGCCAAAAATGTCGGACAAGCCTTAAGCAACCCCACCTACCCATGAGACTGGCCGTGCATTGAGCAGGGGTTGGACCAGAGGCACCCAAAGGTTCCTCCCAACCTGAATTACTCTGTGATTCAGCCGCTGGTGCCCTCCTACAACCCCACCATGCATGTCTGAAACAATGGACGGGGCAATGCCACCAAGCTGCACCGAGGCACCCCAGTAGAGCAGCCACAGGAGATGCCTCCAAAACATCCCATGGTTTGGCTGGACCACGGGAAAGTCCCAAGAAGCAAACCTGCACCTCCATTTTACGGCAGTAGATCAACACATAACTCAAGACAGCTTCAAACTCTACCACCCAGAACTGAGTATCTTTGTAGGCTGGACCAAAAAGATGCAAAATCAGGCCAGCACCGAGTGTTGGAGATCTGCTCGCCCCCATCCCCACCCTGCACCGACCTCCTGCATCCAGCTGCGGTGCCAGACCCGTCCCTGGCTCCACCACACCGGCAAAGCCAGGGAGAGGACGGGCAACCTCACCTCGATGATGTCCGCGTTGGTCCGGCTCTCGTGGGGCTCATTGTACTCGGTGTACTTGAGCAGCACCTTGTCCATGTCGGTGCTGGCATACTGGAACAGCTTGTTTGAGTGGTTGAAGATGATCAGGGCGATCTCGCAGTCACAGAGGACGCTCAGCTCGTAGGCTTTCTTCATCAAGCCAAACTTGCGCTTGGTGAAGGTCACCTAAAAGCAAGGAGAGCCGTGGTCAGAAGCCATGCCCATGGACCTGACACCTCCCAGAGAAAACTGGGACGACCACTGGGAGAAGACCAAAAGGAAGGGGAGGGCAGAGGGAATCTTCTGTCCTCAGTTTCCCCAACTGGACAACCCCCCCATGCTCTCCTCTCTAACCTTCCTCTTCAAACCAGTTCCTATCGCTGCCTATTTTGGGATCCTCCAAAGGCAGACACTTCACAAGCACAAAGATGATTATCAGTGTTGGAAATCACATATTGCCAAATCAAGGGAAAATAAATTTCAGCAAAATCCCCAGCAGAGCTACCATCTGTCCGGGGGCTGTGGGTTGTTGGTTTTTTTTAAAGTTAAATATTCAAGCAGTGGAGATCTCGTCCTCGCTCGCTGCAGTAGCGCTGCGAGCACCCGACCCTGGGAGCCGGGGGGTCTCGGCTGCCCCAAAGCAGGTCGGGGTGCTGCTCCACACCACTCACCCACCCCACCCCATCCCTGACCCACTCTCCTGCTTCCCAGCACCCACTTCTCTTGGGAGGCTGCGCTTCTCCAAAGGCTCCCCGAGCCCCTGGCACGGGGTGCCCCACCAGCTGCTGCCTCCCTCTTGCCGTCCTCATAACCTTGCTGTTGGGGCATTTTTTCGCACCGCCTGCCCATCCAGGGTCACCATGCTGGTGACTGCATCCCCTGTCCTCCAAACCTGCCCTGCCTTGAAATGAGCTGTCATTAGAGCTATCAGCTAACGAGGCATCTTTTGCAGCACTGAACCTTGTGAGCTGGCTGGGGGATGGGGATGGAGCTGGGCGCGGGCTCCAAAACCTGCTCCAGACACCAGGCAGACATTGGGCTGCATTTCCCAGCCCACGCTCAGCTCTCTCCACAACGCTCTTAACAGGACCCAGCTGGTGGGGAGGGAGCTGGTTTGGGGCTCTCCATCCCAGCTGCATTGCTGACAGCCGCTGAAGATCCCTCACCGCCCCCCCCCGCAACCAACAGCATGCTGCTGGGGAAAGGGACGATGCTTGGCCAATGCCCCCTTAGCAAATAAAAAAAGAAAAGGAAAATAAAAGGCAGAGAAGTCGCTGCTTTGCTTTAAGCATTGCTCTCGGGGGCGAAGCAGCAGCCCGGGGAAGCGCTGGAGATGAGCCGAGATGCCCTTGGGTGCCGAGAGCTGCTCCCTCGCCACGGGAGGGCTCGACCCCACTTAGGGCCTCTGCCACGGCATCGATTTTGCAGCTGAACAGCTTTAGTTTGCAGTGTTGAGGGAGGAGAGTGAATGAGGCGGTTGCCTTTGCTAAACTCAAGTTAGCGGCGTTACAGTCGTGGTCCAAAGAGCTTAACCTGGAGCTTCCCCATCCACACCGGTGGTGACGAGCATTGCCACCGTGATGCCACCAGCAGCACCCAGCAGGTACCCAGCAGGTTCCTGCACCCAGCTCTGAGCACCCCTCGAGATGGAGCCGCATCCCTCCGGGCAGTGGGAGTGCAGAGCAGCCCTGGGCATGCATGGCGTGGGGAGGTGCCCACTCCTCCCCGCCCTCTCCCAGAGATGATTAAGCAGTAACGAGATTCGGCTTTAATCGCCTCATCCCCTGGGAAGCACAGGGCTGGCACCCCGCGCCGCTGCTCCCCACCACGTGCGCCCGCTCACACTGCGGGCAGGCTGGGAGCACCAGCACTCACATTGCCAGCGTCCGCCCCAGCTCCGGCACACAGTGACGCAAATTGAATTACTTGAGGGCCAGCGCCGGTGTCATTGGCAATTCCCCCTCCCTGGTGGCATTCCCGACTTCTCGGCCACCCAAAATCACTGCTGGTGGGCACCGGCCCTGGTTGCTCCCAGGACTGAGACCGAGGCGGCAGCACCACACCGCAGCTGTTGCTGCACCACATGACTTCAGGTAGGACCCAGCTGCTGTTTTGCTCCTGCAGCCTGCGGCAGGACAGGCACTAAAACCAACCTGGGGCTGTGCCAGCAGCATTTTTGGTCTCACGTTCCCGCTAGAGACTGGCTGCTCTGTCACAGCTCCGGCAGCGGCTGCAGCCCGGCATGGCGTGCCTTGCTGTCCCCCCGCCGAGACGGCCCTGCCGCTCTGACTCACGCTCAAAGCAGCCCAAGGAGCCTTCAAGAGGAAAACACACAGCATCTCCACCAAGACAGAGGGAAAAGCCGAGGCCGGTTGTTTCTGCAGCCACGGGTGCCAGGGACACCTTGCCAAAAACACCTTGCCGGGCGCCACAAGCCCGCTTGGCCACCAAGATCGGAGGCAACGGGATAAGGCCAAGGTGTGCGAGCAAAGGGGCAGCTCTTGGCCATGAAGACTAGAAACAAGTGTTGTTTGAGTATTGCCCTTGAGCAACAAAGGAGAGCATGAGGTTACCTACGCACAATCAACCAACAACCTGAGCAGAGCCAAGCAGAACCCAAAGCACCAAATCATGTCTCTACGGATGAAGGGATATTCCCTCTGCAGACAGGGACAGGGCGGAGGAGCATCCCTCTGTCTTGGCACCTCTGCTTCTTGCAGAGAAAAGCAAAGATTTGCCATTTAGCCAGCCCCGCCGCACAAAAGCATCTCCCCATGACCCAGGACAGAAACGCCAAACCTTCCTCTACCGCCATGCACGAGCCTCATCTAGAAGAATTAACCTTATAAGTCTAAGAGGGTAATCAAATCTCATGCTTCAGGGCATAAGCCGATCACCAAAGGGGTCAGGAAGGAATTACTACCCCACAGTAGCAGGGGATTTTTGCCTTTCCCCTGATGCAGAGCATTGGCCGTTGCCAGAGTCAGCAGGCTGGCCCTGAAGGACTCATGGTCTGATCTGTTATGGCAAAGCCTCTCCAGTAATTCCTCTAATGACATTAGTGACTCTTACTTGCTCTCCTCCCCTGGTTTTGGCTTCTGCTGTAATTCTGGTCTCCTCCGCGCAGGCTTGTGGTCCGTACACCCGTGGGAGGCAAGACCCGGGGCATGAGCAGGGTCAGATTCACTGATGCTGTAGGCTGGATGTGAGATGCATGGGAAGAGCTTCACCTCACAGCAAAGGCTTTGGAGAGCCGCCGTTCAAACCTTCACTCTTCCCGAGGTTCACAATGCCTCCGTGGCCCCAAACCACCATTACTGATGAGCACCACTTGCTGAGCGAGCGGCAACGCAGGCGTCGAGAGCAGCTCTGCCTCCGCTTCCTTGGTGAATCCCTCCTTCTCCAGCGCATCCACGCGCTATTCCCGTTCCCCATCCCTCTCTCTCCCACCACACGCAGGTACCACGGGAGCCATCCGGGCTCCGGCGCACGCCGAGGCCGGTGCACGCTCACCTGCCGTGGCTGGAGCTGCAAGACCTACATTGCCAGCAGCAGCACCACGGCACGAAACCCCGTGCATAATTCAGCAGAGCTGGGCTGCTCAGCTCGGGGGGTGCAGCATGGGAGAGCTGAGCTGTGCTCCCCGCACCAAACCTCGGTGGGGGGGCTGCTGTGGAGACAGGGATGGGCTGAGGATGCTCCCAGACTCTGGGTTTAAACCAGTTTAGCTGACAGCCCGCAGCCACAGCGGCCACGTGTGCATGGACACTTCTCATCTCTGACCTGCAACAACAGCAGGAGAGGAAGGGAAGGGGAATGAGATGAAGCAAGATGGGACATTTCTGAGCCCAGAGACCGGGTCCAGGCACTGTGCACACCCGGTGCAAAGCAAGAGGGTTATCACCCCCTTCACAGAGGTGACAGATGCCTCAGCCCCATGCAGCTCCCACTGCAGTGGATGGAGCAGATCAGCAACCCACTGCCTGGAGCAGCCGTTCGTCACGCAATGTCCTCTCTTCTTGGTGTGTCCTTGTTCCCCAAAGAAAGGGAGCAGCGAAAATAATTGATTGCAAATCCTGCGCTGATGACCAATTAAACAGCTGCTGCTTCGCTGACATCCGACTTAAACGGGGCTGGGTTTTTGGAAAAGCAAAGCAATACGTGCCGCACTCACGTGGGGAGCGATGCTCCCACGCTGGGTTTTGGAAGCACCGGCCTGGCCGGGGACACAGTTGCCATCAAGGGAAAACCAACATCCCCCAGCCCCGGGAACTGGGCTTTGGGGACAACACCTGACATCCGAGACGTGCCAAAACCACGGGACCAGTCGTGCTGAGCAACGCCCACTGCTAAATCCCACACAGGCTTCACTCGGTTGGTGAGACCTTGGCAAGGGTCTGCATCTCCAACCCCCCTCGGCCAAGCCCTGCACCAAGGAGCAGCTCAACGGCCCCCAAAACTGCCTCCCACCGCCTTAGCTTCTGCCTTTGGCAGAGAAACGCCTCTTTCCTTTCCTGAAGGCTTATACAACAGGACTAGGCTGTGCCATCAACCTCCAGCATTACCAAATATTTTCCGTTCATTTGAACTTCTAATGGGGCTCCAATAGCTGCAAATCCCTCTCTCCCCTATGCAACGTTCAGCAGTGCTGCCCCATAAAATACACTCCAGCTTCTTTAATAACCCCTAACGCCCCATTTACTGCTAATTATGGAAATAAACAGTGCCATGAGCAACTGGGACATTATCAAAAAACATTTTATGCCCATCCCATCCCCCAGCCACCAAATAAAGCTGTAATGAAGAAAACCTGCAATTTTCTATTGTTTTGCTGTGGAGCAATAAACCAGTTCATCCGATTCTGTTATTTGCCACTTTTTAAGCATTAGGAAACATGTACCCATACTTTTTTTTTCTTTTTTTTCTTTTTTTTTTCTGGAATAAAAGCAGTAGAAAAGAAGTGTGGCAGGCCACACTGGGGCATCTGCAGCGGTGGCTGGACTAAAGGCAGAGGCTTCAGGATCTGCCGAGCCAAAGTCAAGGACTGCGGGAAGCCACGGAGCAAAGGGACCCGCCTGAAAGTCTTGTGGTTACAGGGAAAAACATTGATGGAGTCATCACAGAGCAAACCTGGTCCAGCAAAGCGCTGCTGCTCAGCCAGTCCGACTCAAGGAACACGTAAATTAGGGAAAAATCTGTTGGGCTTTTTCTTTCCTTTGAGATACATGCATGTATTTCTACACACATACACATGCGTGCATGTCTAGGGCTTGGCCTCAACGGAGCACAAGGAAAAAAAAATGTGGACCCATATAAGTTTTCAATTGAAAAAAAAAAAAAAAAAGAATAATTTGGGTTGTTTGCATTCATAAAAATGGATACTTGTTGTGGCTGCTTTTTATTGGAAAAACCTCACGGAAAATGTCAACTGAAATATATTTTCTGCAAGACCAAAAAAAAAAAAGGGAACTAACTGGAGAAGATACTTTCTTCTGGAAAAGCGCTTAGATGGAAACGGCGCAAGGAGCTCCAAGACAAGGAGCAATGCCCGGGTGGGGGCTGCAGCTCCCCGCCACAGCAAAACAGGGCCGTTTGCCTGGTTCTGGGTATCCGCCTGAATCCGGCCCCGGTGCCGAGTTTCGCCCATCTGCTTATTTTATGGGTTGGGAGAGAAAAGCACTGGTTGGCCCAAAATGGGATGGAAAAGGGTCATTTTGAAGCAGAACCCTTAAAATACCCGACGGGAGGAGAGCGGGTGAGGAGGGAGCGAAGAGCCGAAGGGAAAGCACCGACCTGCCGATTGCGCTCGTCCGTGATCCGCTGGATCTGGATCTTTTTTCTCCCCATCTTCTCCGGAAATCCTCACCGCACCCGGGATGACTTCAGTTCAGGGGAGGGGAAAAGTAACCCCGTTTTAAAATGCTTTCATTAAAGAGCGTGGGGGGCTTTTTTTCAGATGAACAACAAACAAAAAAAGCCAAAAAAAAAAAAAAAGTTTTGCGTCGCTCCTTGCTCAGTTCATGGTATCCTCCTGCGCGGCCGGATCCAGCGGGGCTGAGCCGTCAGCAGCTGCTCAGAAACCTGTGCAAGGAGAGAGACAGGAGTGAGACTGTCTGTCCCCAAACCCCATCCAGGATCCGGCACCCTCCCAGCATCCTCCCCACTGCTGGCATGGCTCCTTCCCCCCAGCCCAGGGGAGGTCTCTGCTCCATCCTCCAGCTCGGGTCTGAGGCCAGAAGGGTTGCAGAGGGATTTATCCAACCTGGTCTCAAAAAGCCCCAAGGATGGAGCCCAAAAACACCCATGCTGCAGGACACGTGTGGGCCAGGCACGGCGGTGCTCATCGAGGAGGAGACAGCAGCAACAAGCCTGTGAATCATTATTCCTCCGTGACACTCCATACTTTTTTTTTTTGCTTAATAAAGTCATAAGCAGTCGAGTGGCTGGTGATTAGCTTGGGCAATTTAAATCTGTCTCCAATTTCTGCATTAATCTTCAATTTGGAATTTTAAAATGTCTTTATGTGATTATTTAAAAAAACCCTATAATCAGGCACAGAAACCTAATTCTTATGGGCAAGGGGAAGAAGGACTCCAAAGGAAGCCGAGACGGCCCAGGGTTCAACTGGGCTCAACAACAGCTGGATGCTGGTTGTTTCCATCGATCTGGGGGGGGCGTGGATCGACTCAGGGGTATCGTTTGCTCGACACCTCTCTCTCCAAAGGGGCGAGTGCTGCAGGTCCTGGGGGACCCACATAGCTCCTTTCTCAGCCTCGCTCTGTGACCCCACACCGCATAAGGGTGCAGAGACTCAGCATCCCCCAGGCACCTGCATGCCCTGATGCTGGAGGCTGTATCCAGATGTACCTACCCACACCGCCCCCCAGCCCCATTTCACCCCAGTTTTTCAGTGCGCACTGCATTGCAGCAAGGGGGATGAAGGGGGAAACCCAGACAGTTCATTTTTCCGCAGGTATGTTTTTCTTCTGGTCCTCTCTCCAAATGGCCGGATAAGAGCAGCGATAACATTGCATTTAAGGCGAGGGTGCCCCGTGCCAAGACCTAGGCGGAGGGAAAAGCTGGTCCCAAAATAGCTTCCTATCTGCCTCAACTTGGCAGCCCCCAGCCCTCAGTCTTGTTACAAAAAGCATAGAAAAAAAACCCAAGTTTTTTCTCCCCTCCCGTCATCCCAAATTCACCCGCAGCATCTGCAGCCAGCCCTGACCGAGCTCCTCCTGCTCCTCTCCCAGCCCAAAGCATGGAGCCCCGCTGGACCCCCCAGGGATGTTGGCCCCATCCTTCGCCTCCTCATCAGACCATGCTCCGACAACAAACAAGCCCTGACAGTCTCACACCCACACTTGTTTTTTGGGGTTGAGTCGTGCGAGTCACTTAATCTTTTTCTCTGCTTTTTTTTGGGGGGTAAAATTATTCATCGTGCATCGTGTTCTGTGGTTACAGTGCTGGTTCGAGCAGCTGAGAGAAGGAGGAGACTTTTCCCACCCTGACGTCCACAATTTGTCCTCCAGGGAAAATGAGCAATGGGGAGCCCAGGAAGACCAGAGAGATGAAGGGCTGTAAAAATCCCTTTTTTTCCTTGTAAATCCCACCAGGAAGACTCTTTGCAAGGACAAACCATACAGGGATGGCATTCGCCGCTTGAATCATTATTTCTCAAAATTGGTGCATGTTTCTCCTCCCAGCAGCAAATGGGAGGGACCATCCAGCTGCGAGCAGCACCGGCGCCAGGGGGGATGCTGAGCTGGTGCCGGGGGAATGCCCTTTGGCTGCTGCTCCCCATCCCTCTGTGGGCAGCCCCGAAAAGGCCACTCCCAGAGCATTACTGGTCCCAGAGCACCGCTGGTCCCCAAGCATTGCTGGTCCCCAAGCATTGCCACTTGGGCTGGCACTGGTGAGCAGGGGATGCAGGCGCCAGGCTGCCACAAGAGATTCTCTCAAAGGTCAGTGATATGGGAAGAGCCAAAAGAAAAATGAGGATTTTTGTTTCATCCACCCAGGGTGTCTGCTTGGCACTTCCACCACTGTGAGCCCACGCAGGAGAGAACCCACAGCCCCAGGGCTGGGGGCCGAGACGAGGATTTCGCACGCGCAGAGAAAATTTGGCAGAGGAGGAACTTTCCACCGAGTTTGCTTTGCAGCTTTTCCCTTTGGAGTTGCCATTTCTTTAAACTGGCTGAAAAATATTCACCTTCACCATCTTCAAAACCGCCAGCAGCAGCATGAAGTAGCAACAGCTCCGCATCCGGACCCAGGGCAAGATGCTAATTCTTTCCTTGTGCTGCAGCTCTTGGACAGAGAAACCCTCTGAAAAGACAGCGGATTTACTGTCCAAACCAGAGAGGAACTCTCCAGAAGCAACAATAAACACTGGAGAACAACAGGCAGTAAATTTAAACCAAGTGAAAGGAAACATATTTTAACACAATTCAGTTATGGGACTTCTTCACAGGATGCTATCGCAGCCAAAAGCTCTGTGGCGTTCGAAAAAGAGATGAGATGTTTGTAAGGACAAGGAGAAAAGCCCGGTGCTGCTCATCCCTGTCCTATGCTTTGCACAAGCCAGTGCTTCTTGCATGCGAGCAGCGGCGTTCAAACCACATTCCCCTCCCTGCACCACAAATAAAACCCAGGTGCTTTGACACAAATCACCTTTTTCAACCACCAGACCGCATTCCTCCTGCCACTCTTGAATCCCAACTCCTGGGTCCTCAGCACCCCGGCCAGATGGGGACCATCGTGCCAGCCTCGGGGTTTGCTCATGCCACTGGATAAAGTCTCCCAAAGGAAAAAGGCCACTTATTGCTTTTTTTGCTTGTCATGGTGGGGCCAAAATGAGCTGGCCGTATGATGGTCTTGATCCCTCTCCCCTGCACGGGAAGGAAAACACCCCATGGCAAGTGCAGTCCTTGGATAGGATGAAAAGGATGGATGGAGAAAAGCATGGCACTGTTTGCTGCCCTCCAAACTCATCCAACGGAGTGGATTTAAAACTCTTCCCTTTTCTCTTCGTGTTCCTGGTGTTGGAGTTGGGGTTTTGGGGTGGGTTTATTTGGTTTTAGGCTGGGGGGGTGGTTTCCAACATATTTTTAAACCCAGGTATTTTCATGTTTCCTGCCCAGGTGGCTGTTTCAGAAAGTCCGACCGCAGGTTCAAGTTTCTGATCAGCATCTGCAAAGCACAAGAAACCTGGAGAGACTCCCTCCCTCCCGCCCACCGCTCTGGCACTGCCCCTGGCTGCTCGGACCCAACCCAGAAGCACCCACTCTGCACCACGCACTGAGCCAAGCACCTCAGCAGCTTCCTTTCCTTCACCAGCAAATTGCTCTGGATCCCTAATTGCCCACCCCAAAGCACTGGGATCATCTGTGACCCTCGTCCGCGACTGGGTGGAATTTAAGCACCTAAATGTATATATAGCCAAGCACCCAGAGCACAGGGCTTTTAAAAGGAGTCAAACTCCTAAATAACTTTTAACATTTGGGATCTTGGGTCTTTTTATTCAATACAATATCCCCAGTCATTAAATCATCTTTTCTTTCTTCTGAGACAGCAGCTTCTTTCTCCTTCCCCTGGTTTTCCAAGGAACCAAGGCTCACACCATCCCACGGTGCACGCAGGACAAGGCAGCACCCACCCCACGCAGCATCTGAGCCCACAGGACCTTTCCATCCCATTTGGGATGAGGCACCAACATCTCCAAGCCATGACATCCGAGCGAGTCGCACGAACGCCAGCAGATGGGTTAAGCCCAGCCCTTACGAGCCACTAGAGAATCTCCGCAACCCTGTAAGACAGACTACCTTGCCCAAAATGTGACCCAACGCCATCCTAAATCAGGCTTGGGATGGCTCAAACATCATGGGGTGCGACCAGGTGGGAGCGGGGCCGGGCTCGGGGCCAGCCCAGGCACCCACAGCCTCCCCCCCTCGCCATGATGCTGCCATCCCCAGTGGTACCCGTCTCCATGGTGACCATCTCCATGCAACCACCGAGCATCTCAGCTGCTACACCCCGGTGAGAAGGAACCGCCATGGTGCAGGGGTCCGAGGGTATTGAAGGGGACCCACAAACCTGCTGTAAAGCATATCACAGGCATTACACCGAGCGAACAGCGTCGGCAAAAAATCATCCTGTCCCTCTTCAGCACCCAGAAACCTTGGCGAGGATCAGGAAAGGGGAAATTCGGCATCACACCGGGGAAGCAGCGAGAAGCGCTGGGACAGAGGCAGCCCATTAGCACCCGCATCCCTCCCTCCTGCCCTACACCCCCTTGCGCGCTCGCACAAGTATGACTATCACAGCAATTAACACACATGCCAATTAACTACAAGCAGGTGCTGGTTAACTCTGTGCTGAGTAATTCATACCCGGCTCCAAGTAAATTGCTTTAAATTGGAGAGACGGGTGAGGGAGCAGAGTTAGCATTTTGCAAATGGGGGAAGAAAGAAAAAGCGAAGAGGAATCTCAGCTGGGAGATGTTTTTACAAAACAAGGAATTTGGGGGTGCTGAATCCACAGCTTCAAATGCTGGGGAGGCAGGAGAGCCAATATCTCTTCCAAGTCTTTATTTCTGGATTTTTTACCAACTGTACACATTTCCGATCTATTTTACCTATTTCTAAACAGTTTCACCTTGGCATTGCATGAGCAGCAGGGTTCTTTGCACCACTCCATAATTTGTCACTTTTCCATTTCTACTAGATAGCCCCATATTTCTCTCTGCATGAGTAGGGGCACTTAGAGTCTCATACCCACTTTCTATTTTTAATATACTTTTATTGCATCCCTTTTTAGTTGCCTCCTTACTAAAGTCAGCCATGACACAGCCGCTCCTCTCAAAAGTGATGATATTAAGC